CAAGATTTCTGGCTCTCACAGACCTGTAACTTCTTCTTTAAGAGGCTCCTCTGTCCTCCACTCGTTACCTGTATTAATGGCACCTATTTGAACTTGTTATCAGTATAAAAGACACCTGTCCACAACCTCAAACAGTCACACTCCAAACTCCACTATGGCCAAGACCAAAGAGCTGTCAAAGGACACCAGAAACAAAATTGTAGACCTGCACCAGGCTGGGAAGACTGAATCTGCAATAGGTAAGCAGCTTGGTTTGAATAAATCAACTGTGGGAGCAATTATTAGGAAATGGAAGACATACAAGACCACTGATAATCTCCCTCGATCTGGGGCTCCACGCAAGATCTCACCCTGTGGGGTCAAAATGATCACAAGAACGGTGAGCAAAAATCCCAGAACCACACGGGGGACCTAGTGAATGACCTGCAGAGAGCTGGGACCAAAGTAACAAAGCCTACCATCAGTAACACACTACGCCGCCAGGGACTCAAATCCTGCAGTGCAAGACGTGTCCCCCTGCTTAAGCCAGTACATGTCCAGGCCCGTCTGAAGTTTGCTAGAGTGCATTTGGATGATCCAGAAGAGGTTTGGGAGAATGTCATATGGTCAGATGAAACCAAAATAGAACTTTGATGATCCCAAACACACCGCCCGGGCAACGAAGGAGTGGCTTCGTAAGAAGCATTTCAAGGTCCTGGAGTGGCCTAGCCAGTCTCCAGATCTCAACCCCATAGAAAATCTTTGGAGGGAGTTGAAAGTCTGTGTTGCCCAGCGACAGCCCCAAAACATCACTGCTCTAGAGGAGATCTGCATGGAGGAATGGGCCAAAATACCAGCAACAGTGTGTGAAAACCTTGTGAAGACTTACAGAAAACGTTTGACCTGTGTCATTGCCAACAAAGGGTATATAACAAAGTATTGAGAAACTTTTGTTATTGACCAAATACTTATTTTCCACCATAATTTGCAAATAAATTCATTAAAAATCCTACAATGTGATTTTCTGGATTTTTTTCTTCTCAATTTGTCTGTCATAGTTGACGTTTACCTATGATGAAAATTACAGGCCTCTCTCATCTTTTTAAGTGGGAGAACTTGCACAATTGGTGGCTGACTAAATACTTTTTTCCCCCACTGTAGTTGGTTCAGAGTTTGTTTTGATATTTCAACCTGCGTGTCCTGATCGCGTCTGGTGTGGGTGGACAAAATCAACATGCGCTTGCCCGGTCTAGTCAGCATGTAACGGTCACTTTATGGATGCTCTCGTTCAGGGCAATTTATTAAATACGGTATGTGGTTCTCAGTGACGGACGGTATGTGGTTCTCAGTAACGGATGGACGGCTCATGATGAGAGGTGGGGAGTGTGTTGTGCACCTCCAATGATATTGATTTGCGAATTTCCATCGACTTTGGTGTCATATTGGCTTCGATATTATGGTAGGGAGATTTGAATTTAACATTGAATTTAACATTATCGCCCCCACAATAATACAGTGAGTATTGGCAGTGTCTACCTCCTTATATTCCACCGGTCATAATAGTGGGACAATTCAGGATCAAGGATGTCTTGTCAGGATGTTGACTAATACCACAGGACCCTAGCCCCTCAATTAAGCTAACAAGATAATGCATTTCTCTGAGCTTCATTTTTCACCATCGTATATCTGTCATTAGCTGAGTCATAAACTGAGGGGATAATCTACAAACGACTTCACGGACAAACAAAGCCCTGCTGTCTGTTCAACTGAACAGGCTACTAATGACTACTACTGAGAAGGTGAATAACGAACATAAAATAGCAGAGTTGACCTGTTATTTACATGGCTATCCTATGCTTTAGTCCCTAAGCCTAGACAGGCTGCTTTAACCACAGGTGAAGAGAGACGGGTGGGGGTTCGGCAGTGCAAACACACATTAAAGCACCAGCTTCTGAACATTTTAAAATAGAAACCTGGAGTGCAAATGCCACACACATCAATGCTGTGGCCGGCGTACAGCTGCGAACCTTTGAAAAACCCTGCTGCATGGCCTTTATAAGCCAGGGCAGTAGCCTGGATCGGGGCCTTCTTACCTTAGCCAGGTCCACTAGCGTGTTGGCCTGATCGTTGAGTTTCCTCTGCTCCATCTTCACACTGCGCAGTCTGGGCAGAGGCAGTGGGGGTGGAGAGGGGAGAGAGTGGGGATAGGGGGCAGAGGCAGGAGAGGTGGAGAAGGGAGAGAGTGGGGATAGGGGGCAGAGGCAGGGGAGGTGGAGAGGGGAGAGAGTGGGGATAGGGGGCAGAGGCAGGGGAGGGGAGGTGGAGAAGGGAGAGAGTGGGGATAGGGGGCAGAGGCAGGAGAGGTGGAGAGGGGAGAGAGTGGGGATAGGGGGCAGAGGCAGGGGAGGTGGAGAGGGGAGAGAGTGGGGATAGGGGGCAGAGGCAGGGGAGGTGGAGAGGGGAGAGAGTGGGGATAGGGGGCAGAGGCAGGGGAGGTGGAGAGGGGAGAGAGTGGGGATAGGGGGCAGAGGCAGGGGAGGGGAGGTGGAGAGGGGAGAGAGTGGGGATAGGGGGCAGAGGCAGGAGAGGTGGAGAGGGGAGAGAGTGGGGATAGGGGGGCAGAGGCAGGGGAGGGGAGGTGGAGAGGGGAGAGAGTGGGGATAGGGGGCAGAGGCAGGGGAGGTGGAGAGGGGAGAGAGTGGGGATAGGGGGCAGAGGCAGGGGAGGTGGGAGAGGGGAGAGAGTGGGGATAGGGGGCAGAGGCAGGGGAGGGGAGGTGGAGAGGGGAGAGAGTGGGGATAGGGGGCAGAGGCAGGGGGGTGGTAGATGGGTGGGTCATCAGGGTGGAGGAGGAAGGTGTAGGGGGGAAGAGCAACACATGTTTGTCAGGTGAACTCTCTGGTAGGACGTGGAGGAGAGAGAGCAGCCTGCATGCATATACAAGCATTCCCAGTCCTGATCATCGCCAAACCAACACATGCAAAAATGTAAACAAAAATCTATGAGTCAAATAAAAGTCCCAACAAAATACCCCACCCTCCCCCCAAAAAATAAAATAAATATAAATAGCATCAAAAATAGAACCTTTCATAAAGGTGACATGCCTTTATGTGTGCTCCCAGCTGTCACACCCTTACAGCTAGCTCAGTGGCAGGACATCAGAGAAACGTCTGTCATTGGGTGAGCTTGCAGTGACTTGTGAGTGACGTGCACTTATGGTGTGGAGGGTGTGTGTGAGGGAAGGGCCATACCCTGTGAATGTGCCTTACAGTATCTATCCCAGTGGCACCTTAAATTCAATCTATGACAATGACCGATAAAACACTGAAGAAAGTGGTTACTTTATATGACTGATTTATGATCTTGATGTACTGTACTGTACTACACTTCCTAAACACTGCATCTGCCTGCTTGATCTGGTCGCCCTTGGAAACAGGATTGCTTATCTCGGATTAGGTAAATAAAGGTTAAAGATTTTTTTTGAATCACTTTCAATTAATATTAAAATACCTTGGGAGGATATTTGTGCATTGGTTTAAAGTAATGACGTCAGTGATGACATCACGCCAGTCAATCAAATGGATCGACATCCTGGTGACTTGATCAGGCAGAAAGTTCCCCAAAGGGCTAATTCTGATGCAAGGACATTCATTGATGTGCACATGAGGAGATCACTGTTTTCGGCTTCATCTAACGGGAGAGGCTATCAGCATGGCCCTGTCTATTCTATCTAGTGTCTGTGAAGGAAAGGCATCTGAGCTGGGTACAAAAATGACTCTAAAGCTGGTTTCCAGGGTACTTCCTACTATGGTGAGTTAAGATAACAGGCCACTTCAGTTGTGTTCTTTATTGTGAGTGTCTGATATGGCTGAGTGTTGATGGCCATAAAAAAAAAAAATACCCCAAAACAAAAACAGACTTTTCAAACCCTTGAGATAAGTATTTACCACAAAATCAGGAGCAAGGATGGGTCTGCCAATGCAGGTTAATATAGCCTACATAGTGTAGCTATATTAATCATGGTAACATCATAGATGGCGAATTCATTGATGAATGGATTCCGGCCGAGCCGACAAGCCCCAACAAGCTCATACTGCCAGATGCCTCTGACTTTCTTCAGACACTCCACTGCCATGTCATCATCAGTGGTAATGTTGATGCTTTTTGTCATTCCATTCAGAGGATGGGGGTAAATGGAACATTAAAAGAAAACCAAAACAACCGGCATCCAGCATTTGAAGGTTCATGCATGTCAAAACGCAGACATGGAGAGAGAGAGAATGTAGAGCAAACAGAAGGAGGAACATAGAAGACTCAACTTACTTCTGAGCTCTGCAGTGATAGAGCAAAACAAAGACAGAACACAGTACAAAGTTTTAAACCCCACAACATCCACGAAACAAGTGAACCATTACACTTCTCACTGTAAGCACAGGGTAAGGGTTAGGAAGGGGGAGGGCAGGGGAAGGAGGACCATTACAGTGTGTGTGTGTGTGTGTGTGTGTGTGTGTCAGGTGAGTGTGGTGTGTGTGTTTTAGTACACAACTAAATAAGACATTTAGCTAACCGAACACACAGGATATTGTCACAGGAAATGGCTGAGAGTAGGAAAGGAAGGACATTATAACAAAAGACTGGCAGTGATGCCGCTGGCTAAGAGTGCTGTTAAGAATACACAACAGTGGAGGCTGCTAAGGGGAGGACGGCTCATAAAAAAGGCTGGAATGGGGTCAATGGAATCAAACACATCAATCACATGGTTTCCATGTTGTTGATACCATTCCATTGACTCCATTCCAGATATTATTATGAGCCGTCATCTCCTCAGCAGCTTCCACTGATACACATCTACACATAAATACTGTTAGCAGTGCAACTAAAACCACTACTACTGCTACTGGCTCTACAACAAAGAGTAATAAAGACAATAACATGTATTTAACAACTTAACAACAGGTAGTAACATCCACGTAGGCTTCAGGCATGCTTACGATGGAGTCATGTTCTTTGGGAAACAACACTTACTGATGGATGGCCTGTAGAAACTTGCGCTGGTGTTTCCGCACCTTGGCGTGATCGATCTTCTTGACCAACTTAGTGTGTTTGTAGATGAGCCATGTTTCCCTGAGTACATTGGCAGCTGTGTTCTTTACCTGCCGACCAATGAGGAAACACATGTGAACCCCTCAAGCAAAGGCAGGGTGTCCCGAACAACTGCCTTTTCATAACATAATACTCTATGTGGATTTACTTTTAGGGAATTGAGAAAGGTAAACTGAATTGAGAAAGGTAAACTTGTAGGGAATTGAGAATGGTAAACCGATGAAAAAACTTCTTACCAGGGACATTAATTTGTTTTACCCTGTTCCATCAGGAACCATAAACGACAGTTATTGTATTATTTTAATATAACCTCCCATACAGTAAGTGATGTGACATTTACAGTAATGCTCAGTGGTGGAAGATCAAAGATGCCACTAAAACGAGAGCGTGAGTGACTCACTCGTTTGCAGAGTTGTGTGTCCATCATGAAGTTGTGGACATGCTTCTCAGCCTTGGTCAACTCCAACTTCCTGGCTACCACGGCGACCACCAGCGCAGTGCAGCCAGCTCCCTATTGGTCAGAAACATAGTGAGGCCCAGAAATCAAATAATGTGAAGGGTGACTGCTGAGTTGGGTTATTGTATTAATAGTGTATGTGAGGTGACTGCTTGGAGGGAAACATGTAAAGACGTTGAGCTGCTCTAGAATAAAGCAACAAGTTGCAGAAATTTAAAACATGGCTGTTCCGTGGGAATAATATGTCTATTAGTCATGCAATATTGCATGAAAAACACAGAAAAAAACTCATTTCCAATGACAAGTAACGTACCATGATCCCTGTAAGCAGACATACACCTTTCCCACAGTACGTGTTCGGTACCATGTCTCCGTAGCCAATCGAAAGGAAGGTAATAGAGATGAGCCACATGGCTCCCAGGAAGTTACTGGTCACTTCCTGTGTGTCATGATACCTAAAGTAAGGAAGAGAGAAACAGAGGAAGATACCCATCAGTGACACCGATACTGTAAAGGGAACCTGAGCATGCTGGAGAGGCCGTGAACTAACAGAAGTGGTTGAAGAAGCAAGAAAATACATGTGCATAGTGGTTCACCTTTCGTCATGCCTGCACTACACATCTAAAAAGCACCCAATCCATGTTGGAAATAAAATGGTGAAACATTATGAAGCTGTGCCATCGCATTCCAATATACTGTAGCTTTTAAGTCAATGCTCTGTGGTAAATGAAGATACACATTCAATCATTCAATGAGTTGCCAAATTAAAATGATATGGAAGGGAAAACATAATTGATTTCAATAATCCTTTTAAAGAATCTAATTAAATGCTGATGGCAGTTTGGGAATTCTCCACAGTAAAACACTGAACATATACTGTATATATCCGTGTCTATTAAACAACTTGAGAAGATGGATGATATCAATTGAGAAGCATTTAAAAATAGACATGAATCCAGACACACACCTGCTACTCATTAGCATAGAAATTAAAATATTATGGAAAATGATTGGAATGAAGGAAGTGACATACACTAAGTTATGCAGCTAAGCATTTAAGCGTTATGAGAACCGCAGGCAATTGATCTTTTAAGTTTTACAGGATTTGAATCCAAACTAACCACTGGCAATCTAAAATACTATAACCACTTTGATCAGCACTCATCCCCAACAAATACTAAATCAATGCACCCAAATAATTTGCCTTTCCTCTACAAGAGAGGAAAATACATTTGACCATCGACATCATTTTGTTTAAAGAAAGGAGAGTGTCAATTCTCATTTCTTACAACATGATGGGGAAAAAACAACTTTGGATCTCTAATGTGAAGAGTTTGAACTACCCGAATAAAGGTTTGGTTATGAACATCATCACTTCAAACTTTATCACTTTCATTTCATCATTCTGTTTGTTGAAAATGGCAGAAAATCATGCGATAGCCAATGCCCCTAAAAACATAAAGTCTAAACGGGACCCTTGGGACGTCCCAACTGACTTCACCCCATTGAAGTTGACATTTAAAACAGTTAAGGTAAGGGTTAAGGTTACGGTTAGGTAAGGTTTATGGTTATGGTAAGGGTAGGGGTTAAGGTTAGGGTAAGGACGTCCCAAGGATCCATAATAGCACTAACCCTAAAACCACAGCAGATAGATAAAAAACACCACCTCAAACATCAATATTGATGATGACTTTCCCATACCCTTTGCATTGTGGGAAAAAGTCCCAAAATTAACCCATCCAGCCCAATCCTACCTTTCTTTACATACTACATCCCTGATTGGCTAAGGCGCGCTGTCTAGGAGGAGTCATAATACTGAGGCTCATTGTTCAGCTGGATTACTAACAGCTCTCAAAAGTACACAGGATGACTACTAAGAATAAAGAGGATGATATTTCTGCTCCCAGAGATTTTCTTTGAAAGGGACCATCATCATACCAATTAGGAATATGCTAATGACTTGATTATGGGCGGCAGGTAGCTTAGTGGTTAAGAGCGTTGTGCCAGTAACCGAAAGGTCGCTGGTTCTAATCCCCGAGCCAACTAGGTGAAAAATCTGTCGATGTGCCATTGAGCAAGGCACTTAACCCTAATTGCTCCTGTAAGTCGCTCTGGATAAGAGCGTCTGCTAAATGACTAAAATGTAAAAATTATCCAGCAGTGACCCAGCATGTGGAATTAAAATGGCAGGAACAATTTAATCTAATCAATGCAGAAATACAGTTTGAAACACCTGGGGCAGATGAACTATGTTGGAACTCCAAAGTTTTCACAAAAGAAAGGCTTCTTGAAAATCTCCTCCTAGACAGTTCACTTTCATTAAGGAACTAACCATGCCTTCAGCAGTTGTTGCTGAACTCTGATCTGCTTAAAGGAAAACTCCACTCAAAAACTATATTTTGTTATTTCTTTCATTAGTTCACTCATGATACAGTCGCAAAATGTTTTGCATGTCAGTAGTCAAGTTTTTAAGATATTGGACTTTCAAGAAACAAAGTGTCACTTGCCACATCATCATGATGATGCAAAATAATGATGATGATGTGGCCGGTGACACTTTGCTTCTTGAAAGTCCAATATCTTGAAAACTTGACTGCTGACATCCAAAACATTTTGGGACTGTATCAACAGTGGACTAATGAAAACAAATACAGAAAGATGGCTTTTGAGTGGATTCCTTTACCTCAACTCTGCTTCATGCTCAATGTTAGGAAAAACAACATTATCCTTTTTTCCTCAGAGTGAACAGTGTGGGTTCAAGCAACCGTATGGCATGCAAAAAAAGCACGTCGATACAATACCATGCAGGCGTTAAAAAGATGTTCGCATCCTGCATGCTGAAAAAGCCAGTATATTGAGAGCAAAGAGAGCGACGACAAAATGAAAACCATCCTTGACAAATATCGCAATATTGTTAAGTGGATGGGGGTTGAATATTTACATAGCCAGTCACTTATCTGTAAGCTGGAGATGAGTAAAAACCCATTCAGAAGCTCAACGTTATTGACTTCCCTGTCTCTTTCACCTGGATTGTTAAGGGCTGGATTCAATCCGTATCGTGGAAGTATGGTGGAAAATCTGTGTTAAAATGTCAACGTAAAGCCCGACATATGCAGCGTTTACCATGAATGCAGTCTCCACAAAGGAGGGAACGTTGCCTTTAAATTTCAATCGAGCTACAACGTGATACTTCTGCGATACGGATTGAATCCAGCCCGTTAGCCTTCAACAGAGTGCTCTCTGACAAGGCTTAGAGCAAGGGGGACACCACTATAGTGACTAATTCGCTAATTTTAGACAATCTATGACTAAAACAGGCAAATACATGAGTCATTCCAGATCACTAATTCTGAGACAGAACCTTGTGGAAGTCGTGTCTGTCAACATATTACACTGCTTCCTATTTTATCCTCTGATTAATGTGAAGTTAAGTTGTAAAGAAGAGGTGAAATATGTCCTTAAAGTTATTTGCTTCTACGTTGTGTTCATTGTTTATTAGATCATGATGAGTTCCACTCAATCACTCGGTTCATCAGGGTTGGGTAGATATCTGGTTTACACACTGGAACTGTCTCAAATTGCATGGATGCTCTTGACGGCACCAATTACGCCTTTGTAGGAGGAGTACTGTAAGTGCCGTAGTGTCCAAATTATTCCAGGCTGGTGAAAGCGATTAGAGCACGACACAATGCTAGAGGTTTGTTTTCAATGGTGTAACATTGCACAGTGTATGTTTCCCTGTATCGGGATGTATTTGCTTTAAGAATACTCTTATTGTGAATCTCTACATTTATGACTGGACATGGTTTGGTGTGGAATTTTTGTTTTTAGTTGCATACAAAACTGTAGGTAGGTTTTCCCCAAAATCCCTGAATCTTGAAGAGGACACAGACAAATGTCCATAGACTACAGTCATATGGGCACTGGAGGCTACGGACGCAGAGCCAGTCGATGACATTTTGAAGCTCTCAATATACTGTGTAGAGTGTTGGCATAGCATGGACAAGAGCTGGCACCACTTTCGACCTAGTGTGAGACCAGAGGAATTGTCTGAAATAAAATGTCTCCCACCCTTGCAAAACATCCCATAGAAGTAGGCTTCATGTTGTAGACATGTCATTGTTCGTAAGATAACTCCCTCAAACTGTGTTCCCTTACTTTGTCAGCAACTCTATTTGCAAGTACGTACAGATGAGAGCACTAGACCTAAACGACTCCTTCCAGAAAGGGCTTTAATGTGTGTGAGTTACGGGAATACCACTTGATTCACAGTGTTGAAAACAACCTAACGGGTGACACATTGCCATCTATCTCCCGCATCAGCCAACACAAGAGAGACCATTGAAGAATGTCAACATCATAAACAACGTCACTGTTCTTGGTGGTCCTGAAGTACACAACTCACCCCTGTACATCCCGTGTGGCTCAGTTGGTAGAGCATGGCGATTGTAACGCCAGGGTTGTGGGTTTGATTCCCACGGGAGACCAGTATGAAAAAAAGTATGAAAATGTATGCACTCACTACTGTAAGTCGCTCTGGATAAGAGCGTCTGCTAAATTACTAAAATGTAATGGGAATGGGTTAAAAATAGATGCACCATCTTCTGGTCTTTTAACCCTGACCATTCTCTTCATGTCATCTGGTATTTTAACCCTGGCCATTTCTTCATGTCATCTGGTCTTTTAACCCTGGCCATCTCTTCATGTCATCTGGTATTTTCACCCTGGTCATCTCTTCATGTCATCTGGTATTTTAACCCTGGCAATCTCCCCCAGCATTCTTTATCTCCGTTTTTCACCGTATGTGGATGAGGTCATGCAAGAAACAGATGGTTTGTCCCAGGGACATACAGTGGCAATGGCTGACGATGTGTCTTCGAAGCCAGGGTTTCCCAAACTCGGTCCTGGGGCCCCCCTGGGTGAACGTGTTGTTTTTTGCCCTAGCACTACACAGATTTGAATACCCTGGTCTATGCTGTATATTCCAGGTTGAAGCTTAAGCTTTAGATTTTGGGAAGGACCGAGTTTGGGAAACCCTGCTCTAAGCTATTTGAGGGATGACATGAACAAGGGATTCAATCAAAAATGACATGAGTGTTCTGAATCTCCCAAACCCTGTTGTCAGATGTAGTACTAAAAAGTAACATATGAACATTTGCCAAAAACATTGGTTGGAAAGAATTGCTAGAGATATCAATAACTCTTACCTATAAAGACAACATTATACAGGAATAATGCCAAATAAAGCAGTATTTGTTGCTTGTATGACATGCTGCATGCAAGTCTGATTAAACCTCAAATTGAGAAAAACTGGTTTAACCGGCTACTGAGAACGCAATACTGTATATTGAGCAGCAAGCAGTATTTTTTTTAGTATTACCCTGAGCAGGCAAATTGTTGGACAGGCTAATTTGCTCCTAATATAAGCCACTGCAGTGGAAAGAACATTAAAAT